GGACTTATGGTTTTTGATAGATAACGAGCTATTCTTTCATAAAAAAACAAGTAATTTTTAAACAAAAAACACAAGAGGCTTCAATTCTCATATAAAAATTTATCGTCAATTTTTTCATGATCCGGTCACTCCCGGGATGTATTCCCCATTTTCCAGGGCTCCCTCAATCCGCCTAACAACCTTTGGCAGATCAGTGTCAACTGGCAGTAAGTACCATTTTGCAGTCCTGCTTGCTGCTGGTATATAATTAAGCTTGATGCAGCTCGAAAATTCCGTGGAAGTATTTAGCGCCCATTAGATGATCCTCGGAGTTACTAAATCTTCTACAAACTGATCCGTTTTAATTAGTCCTTGCCAGGCGATAGTTTTAGATAAAATTTCCTCACCCTCTAGGTATCGGACTCAAACTCTCTTTGTTACCGCAGAAGCGAATGTGGCAGCTTCTCTTAGCCTTCTTTATTTCTTTCTTCTAAATCTTAAGCAGATCTTTGTACTTTTCCCACTAGCTACGCTAGCTTCAAAAATTCCCTAGCTAGCTTTCTGAGAGCTCCCAGCTCGGTCGTCTGGTTTTACCTTGGGTCTTTCACAGATGATACGAAGCATTAAAAGCAGCAACGAGAATGGCTGATAAGTGATTGTTGGTTTTTTCCAGGGAGTCTGAACTTCACAAACTGCTAGGTATCCGAATTCTGCTTTTGACAGTATCTATGAATATGATCTAACAGTTGGTTTTGGGTTTCTGGATTAGTCTGAAATAAAAAAAAGTAATGACTCGTAATGATTGCGCTTACAATCTTCACCAGGGTCTTCAACTTGTCCGCTGAAGCTTCGAAGTTGTGAGGAAACTAAGGTAAGTCATTGCTCGCAAATCTTAAGATCGAATTGCTATAGACTTCGCACTTTACACTTAGCTCAGAGCCTAATGACAATACAATATGAAAAATAAATGAATTAATCCGCAAAAAAATTGTGTTTCTTTTTATTAACCACTAATAAAAGTTTGTCTTGAGAAGGGTTTTTTTTTAAATTACCTGTTTTTTCAATTCTACGCCCAAAAATCAAGTGCAACACTCACAAACTCTTAGAAAAAAATGCAAAATTTTGAACCAGAAATGTGTTCACTAAACTAATA